TTCTGGAAGCTAATTTGACTGTACTTACCAGTTTTTATATGTACCTTCTCTTAGACCAAAGAGTGTCTCTTCTAAGAATAAATCCAACTGAATCATTTTCCCAGTACACAAAATACACAAGAATATTCACAAAAGCACTATGTAGCAAACAGAAAAGAATGATGTACCTTACATACTTTATATACTCAGATAGCCCATGATAGGTGAAAAAGCAAGGTGCAGAACAGTATGTTATGATATTTGTATTTTAAAAGTATAAGTACATATGGTTGCACATGTATAGAAATCTGGCAAGATATGCCCCATACCCCAAACTTAACCAAGGATACTTCTGGAGAGTGAGGTGTGGGAAAAAGTGTATTATAAGAGAAGTAGGAAACTTTTTACCTTGGATTATCCAAGGAGCCACTAACTACAGCAATGTGAAATGAGAACTCATCTCTAATATTTTGTTTTGTTTGAGATGGGGTCTTGCACTGCTGCCGAGTCTGGAGTGCAGTGACACAATCATGGCTCACTGCAGCCTCAACTTCCAAGGCTCAAGTGATCCTCCCACCCCAGCCTCCCAAGTAGCTAGGACTACAGGCATCCATCACTGAGCCCGGCTTTATTTTTGTTTTGTTTTTTTTGAGGGGGGCGGGGTGGGTAGAACAAGGGTCTCCCTATGTTGCCCAGGCTGGTCTCAAACTCCTGGACTCAAGTGATCCTCCCACCTCAGTCTCCCAAAGTGCTGGTATCACAGGCATAAGCCAACATGCCTGGCCCATCTCTAATATTTAATCAATGTGTTTTTGTTTTGGTTTTTCTGAGATAAGGTCTCACTCTATCGCCCAGGCTGCAGTGCAGTGGCACCACGTCAGCTCACTGAAGCCTTTACTTCCCAGGCTTAAAAGATCCTCCCACCTCAGCCCCCAAGCAGCTGGGACTACAGGCATGTGCCACCATGCCTGGCTAATTTTGTTGTATTTTTCTGTAGAGATGGGGTTTCACCATGTTGCCCAGGCTGGACTCAAACTCCTGAGCTCAGACAATCTGCCTGCCTTGGCCTCCCAAAGTGCTGTATTATAGGCATGAGCCATGGTGCCCAGCCTTAATTAAGTATTAACTGCCAGAGTTAAAAAGGCCAGAGAGGACAGAATACACTTTGTTTCCTTACAGAATTGACTCTTCAAAAGGGAGTTCTCAGGCCGGGTGCGCGGTTCAGGTCTATAGTCCACTTTGGGAGGCTGAGGCGGGAGGACTGGTTGAGCCCAGGAGTTTGAGACCAGCCTGGGCAACTTAGTGAGCCCTCTCTACTAAAATTTAAAAACTGTACTGGTAGTTCCAGCTACTCAGAAGGCTGAGGCAGGAAGAGCCCTTGAGCTCAGGAGTTCCAGGCTGTATGAGCCAAGGTTGTGCCACTGCACTCCAGCCTGGGCAATGGAGTGAGACCCTGTCTCAACAAATAAGGGAATCTCTCTGAATCTACTGTAATTCTGAGGGCTGCACGATTAAAAAATAATAATAATTTAAAAAATTAAAAACCGACAGACATAGTCGCTCACCCCTGTAATCCCAGCACTTTGGGAAGCTGAGGAGGGCAAATCACTTGAGGTCACAAGTTCAAGACCAGCCTAGCCAACACGGTGAAACCCCATCTCTACTAAAAATACAAAAAAATTAGCCTGGCACGATGGCGGGTGCCTGTAAGCCCAGCTACTTGGGAGGCTGAGGCAGGAGAATCACTTGAACCCAGGAGGCGGAGGTTGCAGTGAGCCAAGATTGTGCCACTGCACTCCAGCCTGGGCAACAGAGTGAGATTCCATCTCAAGATAGATAGATAGATAGATAGATAGATAGATAGATAGATAGATAGATAGATAGATAGATAAATAAATAAAACAAAACAAAAATAAAAAACCAAATCTGCCAACACCCTGATCTTGGACTTCTAGTCTCCAAAAGAGTAAGAAATAAATTTCCATTTTTTAAGCCACCCAGTCTGTGGTATTTTGTAATAGCAGCCTCAGCAAACTAACGCAGGGGGCTCCAAGCCAATGGAAGCACCTCCTCCTCCTCCCAGGAGAGTTAGAGGCCACCTTTAGGAACCCACTGTCAGAAACGTGGGGGCAGATGAAGCCAGATTCCTGGGGTTTAAGAGAATGGGCTATGAGGAAACAGCAGTGGAATACAAGCGTGTGGTACATCTAAAGCCTCAAAGGCTGTTTCTCAGGATTCTCACAACCTGGTTCCACTTTTCCTCGTTAGACTTCTCAGTACTGCCAACGATCCCAACAGAATGCTTTGGCTGGTCAGATTCATCTTTTTAACAAGTCCAGCCAGCTTTTGTCTCTACAGCTGTGCTTTGATCATTCAACATTTCCCACCCATTCTTCAAGGTACTGCTCAATTCCCTGACCATTTTGTTCCATGCTGATCTCCCTTTTCTCAACCAGCTTCTGCACTTACCAGTATAACTTGGTCTAACTATTCAGTCTAATTGCCTGTATCACAGAAGGTAATATACAAAAGCATGAAACTCATTATTGGGGTCCCAGTCCAACGATATTGGGTACTTTGAGAACAGAGACTACGTTTTCTTCTGTAGCTCTGAAGAAAAGTGAATCTGTTAGGGAAAAACAATGATTGCGGGCATAAAACAACAAAAATAAAGATGAATTTTCCAGATTCATCTTTTTCTATAGTCTGCCCATTTGCCACGGAAGCCACTACAGAGGTATTTTTTTGCCACATGCAGCTGTGCATTTGAAGTATTTAGGAAGGATTTGCCTGTCATCGTGTTGTAATTATTATTTATGACAACTTTCATGGTTTTTGTCATTGTTAACTTCATTATGAAGAATGTAATGCCCAGATGATTCATTAAAGTATAATTCTAGTTAGCTAGCACAAGTTATTAACTCATTAGGCAAGGGACAGTTCAGAAAGTAATCTTAACAGGATGGGACACAATCCTTAGAATTGTAATATTTAAATAATCCTTCAATTGCAGAGAGAATAGAGACCTATTTCACAGTCAATAAAAAGGGGGGAAAAACTCTTTGAAATTCAGATTATTTCAAATTGTCATTTGAAACAGTTGAACATTATGGAATAAATCATAACATCCTGATTTGAAGATGCAGTTATTGTTCCAAATTAAATTCCTTCATGTTCTGAAGAAATCTTACAGAATCTGATATGCTCGAGGGTAAGGAATATTCAACAACAAAGGGCAGCAAGAGAAAATAGCCTGGTTCACAACTCTGGAATTAATTCACTGTAGCTGAAGCTTAAAGGGGGTGGGGGGAAGGAAGGCTGGCACAGTGGCTCACGCCTATAATCCCAGTGCTTTGGGAGGCTGAGAAGAGAGGACAGCTTGAGCCCAGGGATTCAAGATCAGCCTGGGTAACATGGCAAAACCCTGTCTCTACAACAAATACAAAAACTAGCCAGGCGTGGTTGCCTGGCCTGAAGTCCCAACTACTTGGGAGGCTGAGGTGGGAGGATTGCCTGTGCCCAGGAGGTCGAGGCTACAGCAAGCTATGACCGCACCACTGCACTCCAGCCTGGGCATGGGAAACCCAGTCTCTTTGTTTAAAAAAGAAAAAAAAAAAAAAAGCCTGAATAAATCGGTCCAAGACAGGAATCCAAACTGGTGATACCATCATCTGACTGTGGCAACTCAACCACATTTCAGCAATTCATACTGCAATTGCTCCTGGATACTCACCTCATTATCATTTTTTTAACTTCCAAAAGCACATTTAAGATTATTTTGTGGTTCCCAATTTACAGCCCAAAAGGACTCAAGACACTTATTTGAGAAAACCCCAAAATGTCTGGGTGAGACACAAAATGATACGCCACCAGAAGTCTCAGGGGACACCGGGCACAAGAGAACTAAGGCTGGACAACAGCATGTTACGAAGAAAACGCGACGATTCCCCTTTATCAGCTTGGGTCTCCTGCACCTGACCGTGAAGGCCGCTAAGGGTAAGGCCGGGTCTCCCGCACATTTGCACCATGGACACGGAACAGAGTCCCACAGTGCCTAGCTAAGTGTGAATGTGCTAAATCAAGGCTGAAAGAAACCCTGGCCCTGCCCTTAGGCATCAGGGTTTTTCCAAGTTTGATTCTCCTGTCATAGAAGCATCCCAGGGAGGTTGCTGGTTACAATGCAGATTCCGGCCAGGCGCAGAGGCTCACGCCTGTTAATTCCAGCACTTTGGAAAGCCGGGAGGATCACTTAAGGTCAGGAGTTCAAGACCAGCCTGGCCAACATGGTGAACCCTGTCTCTACTAAAAATACAACAACAACAACAACAACAACAAAATTAGCTGGGCATGGTGGTGAACGCCTGTAATCCCAGCTACTGGGGAGGCTGAGGTGGGAGGATCGACTGAATCCGGGAGGTGGAGGTTGTAGTGAGCTGAGATCGCGCCACTGCACTTCAGCCTGGGTAACAGAACGAGACTCAGTCTCAAAAATAAAAATAATAGGGGCAGGGTGGGGTGGCTCACGCCTGTAATCCCAGCACTTTGAGAGGCCAAGGCTGGCGGATCACCTGAGGTCAAGAGCTCGAGACCACCTAGACCACTGTGGTGAAACTCCATCTCTACTAAAAATACAAAAATTAGCTAGGTGTGGTGGCGGACGCCTGTTCTCCCAGCCACTCGGGAGGCTGAGGCAGGAAAATTGCTTGAACCCGGGAGGCGGCGGTTGCAGTAAACCGAGATCACGCCACTGTACTCCAGCCTGGGCGACAAAGCAGGACTCTGTCTCAAATGAATAAATAAATAATAAAATGCAGATTCCTGAGCCCCCAAGTTGACTACACCAATCAGTATCTCCCGGTTAGCGAACGTGCATTTTTACAGCCCCACCCCCTCTAACCCTCGTCCCCTTCCCCATTCCCCATCCCCTCCACAACCAGGTCTAGCGGCCTCAAGCCCGGGCGTGCGCAGGCGCGTCCCCCTCCCGCCGCCCACCCTGCTGTCCCGCTCCCTGCGCCGCGCACCTGAGGCAGTCGTTGTCTCTCACCAGGCGCGCGCTCTCGGCGGGGGGCAAGAGCCCCCCCTCCAGGTAGAGGCCTAGGAGGGCCCCAGAACTGAAGCCGAAGCGCTGGCGGATGAGACTAATGAGATCTGTGACGACTCGACATCTGTTCAAGTCGACCAGAAGCCAGAAGGCCGTACAGTGCGGGGTAGCTGGCGGCGGGTAATCAAATTGAAGCCGTAGCCTAACCGTCTCGGAAGCTGCCATCTTGCTCGGTGCTCAACGGAAGCCGAGAGATACCACGGGGCTACCGAGAGGCGTGCTTGGGCGGCCCGCCCCCCGGAGCCTTTGGCGTGTGCCACCTAGTGGTGGAACGTGGCTACTACAGGCTGCGTCTAGGCGTGAACTCGGAGCGTGGTTGATTTTTTTCAATTTTGTTCACGGCAGGGCTGAGAAACGGAATAAGTGAAATGCCTTTATTACATTTCTACTGGGCGCTATGTAGGGTCTCCTAATTAAGGCAAGTCTCTGGATAAATAACATTTCTCCTCAGCAGTGGTCTTCTAAGATATTTGCTCATCGACGTAAAAGATTTTTATATAACAATCGTAACAACACATTTCGCTGACAAAATTTTTCATCATGAGTTGAAAAAGATGTAAGTCCTAGTGTGTTCTCAATGTTGATATTTTGAAATAAAACTGGTAATCATTCTTCCAAATGTATCCAGTGGAGTATAAATACCTTAGCCTTTTAATACCCACCACCAAAGAAAAATGTCCTTGCATTTCTCACCAGATAAGTAAATCAGAATTTACATTATTTCTTATATTTTTTGAACTAGAATTTACATTTCTCCACATAATATATATTAACTCTTTAATTTGCATGACAAAAGTTAGGAATTATGAACTATTATCCTCATTTAGAGGATTTAAAAAAAAACAAGGTTCAGAGAGTTTAAGAAGTAACTAGAGGCCAGGAGCAGTGGCTGACGACTGTAATCCCAGCACTTTGAGAGGCCAAGGTGGGCTGATCACTTGAGACCAGGAGTTTGAGACCACCCTGGCCAAAATGGTGAAACCCCAAGTCTACTGAAAATATAAAAATTAGCGGGATTTGGTGTCATGTGCCTATAATTCCAGCTACTCGGGAGACTGAGGCAGTAGAATCGCTTGAACTCAAGAGGTGGAGGTTGCAGTGAGTCAAGATCGTGCCACTGCACTCCACCCTGGGCAACAGAGCAAGATTCTGTCTTTTTTTTTAAAAAAAAAAAAAAGTAACTTCCCCAAGTTCACTAGACTAGTTAAGTTGTAGATATCAGGGAGTCAGTAGATGAAACAAAATTTCTTAATGGAAAGTAGGGTTTTTTGGATTTTTTTTTTTTTAGAGTCTCATTCTGTCACCCAGGCTGGAGTGCAGTGGTGCAATCTCTGCCTCCCGGGTTCAAGTGACTTCCTACCTCAGCCTCCCTAGTAGCTGGAACCACAGGCGTCAGCCACCATGCCCAGTTAATTTTTGTAATTTTTGCAGAGATGGGGTTTTTCCATGGTGGCCAGGCTGGCCTTGAATTCCTGAATTCAAGCAATCTGCCTGCCTTGGCCTCCCAAAGTGGTGGGTTTACAGGCGTGAGCCACCACCTCCGACCAAAAGCAAGTTTATTAGAGAATTAAAGGAATAGAAGAATGGCTACTCCATAGACAGAGCAGCAAGCCCATACTATAAGTATACTCAGTCAAGTATACTTACAGTTACTTCTTGATTGTATGCTAAACAAGGGATGGATTATTCATGAGTTTTCTGTATCCGGATGAAATGGGCAGGGATTTCCCTCAGAACTGTGGGTTCCTCCCCTTTGAGACCATACAGGATAACTTCCGGGCATTTCCAGCCGGGTGCGGCGGCTCACCCCTGTAATCCCAGTTTCTTCACATCCTGACTACCATTTGGCATTGTCAGTATTTTTTAGTCATTCTGGTAAATGTGTTGTGGTATCTTGTGGTTTTATTTCTTTCTTTCTTTGTTTTGAGGCTAGATCTCATTCTGTCTCGAATGCTGAAGTGCAGTGGCGTGATCACAAGGCTTACTGCAGCCTTCACCTCTGAAGCTCAAATGAACCTCCCACTTCATCCTCCTGAGTTGCTGGGACTACAGGCATGCACTGCCATGCCCTGCTAATTTTTGTAATCTTTGTAGAGACGGAGTTTTGCCACGTTGCCCAGGCTGGTCTCAAACTCTTGGGCTCAAGCTATCCTCCCACCTCAGCCTCCCAAAATGTTGGGATTACAGGCATGAGCCACCATGCGCAGCTTCTTGTGGTTTTAATTTGTATTTTCCTAATGGCTAATAATGTTGAACATTTTTTCCTGTGTTTATGTGCTTTCTTCAGTGAAATTCTCTTCAAGTCTTTTACACCTGCTTTAATTGGATTGTTAAATTTTGAGAGTTCTTTATATATCCTAAATAGTAGTACTGAGGCAGAAAAATAGGGTCTGGAGGCAGGGAGCACAAGGCCGATTCACACTTCAGCTGTGACAGGAAATATCCTCTCCATTTACAAAGGACATACGAGGAGTAAATGACTTTGTAACTTTACCTCATCCTCTCCATTTACATAGGACATACACCAAGAAACCAATGGAAACTTCTGGAGGGTATTTAAGCCACCCAAAATTCTGTAACAGGGCCCTTGAGCCCCTATGCTCGGGCCCACTCCCACCCTGTGGAGCATACTATCGTTTTCAATAAATCTCTGCTTTTGTTGCTTCATTCTTTCCTTGCTTTGTGCGTTTTGTCCACTTCTCTGTTCAAGATGCCAAGAACCTGGACACCCTCCACCAGTAACAGTAATTTGTCAGATATGTGGGTTGTGGATATTTTCTTCCACTCTGGAGCTTTTTTCTTTTTCCCTTCGTTCTCTTAATAGGGCCTATCACAGGCCAAAAGTCCAGTCGATCAATTTCTTCTTCATTGCTACCTCTGCCTTCCGGGTTCAAGCGATTCTCGTGCCTCAGCCTCCTGAGTAGCTGGGGACTACAGGCACCTGCCACCACGCCTAGCTAATTTTTGCATTTTTAGTAGAGATAGTGTTTTACCATGTTGGCCAGATTGGTCTTGAACTCCTGACCTCAGGTGATCTGCCCACCTCGGCCTCCCAAAGAGCTGGGATTACAGGCGGAAGCCCCTGTGCCCAGCCTGTTTGTTTGTTTTTTGCTCTGTTGTCCCGGCTGGAGTGCAGTGACAAGATCATAGCTCACTGCAGCCCCTACTTTCTGGGCTCAAGCAATCCTCCCAGCTGTGTGAGCCATAGCCTGAGTTAATTTTTGTATAAGAGTTATAGCAAGGTTCATTTTTGTTTGTTTGCTTGCCTCTTAATGTCCAATTGCTCCAGCACCGTTTGTTAATAACACTATATGTCCTCCATTTTTGAATCTTTTGAATCTTTGTCAGAAATCAGTTGGGCATATTTGTGTACATCTATTTCTGGATTCTGTGTTCTGTTTCATGGATCTATATGTCTATTCCTCCACCAACACCACACAGTCTTTTTTCTTTTCCTTTCTTTTTTTCTTTTTATATTGAGACAGAGTCTCACTCTGTCGCCCAGGCTGGAGTGTAGTGGTGTGATCTTGGCTCACTGCAACCTCCGCCTCCCAGGTTCAAGCAGTTCTCCTGCTTCAGCCTCCCGAGTAGCTGGGACTATAGGTGTGCACCACCACACCAGGTTAATTTTTGCATTTTTAGTAGATACAGAGTTTCACCATGTTAGCCAGGCTGGTCTGGAACTCCTGACCCTGAGTGATCCACCCACCTGGCCTCCCAAACTGCTAGGATTATGGGCTTGAGCCACCACACCTGGCTCTTTTTTCTTTTAGAGACAGATCACGCCCACACTGCAGTGCAGTGGTGTGATCACAGCTCACTGTAGCCTCAGACTCCTGGGCTCAAGTGACCCTCCCACTTCAGCTTTTCAAGTAGCTAGGACTACTATGCCCATTAATTTGTGATTTTTTTAAAAAAGAGACAGTGTCTGGCTATGTCTTCCAGACTGATCTCAAACTCCTGGCCTTGAATGATCTTTGCACTTGGGCCTCCCAAAGTGCTGGAATTACAGGTGTGAAACAGCATACCTGGCCAGTCTTGATTACCATAGTTATTTTTGTAAGCCTTGAAATCAGGTAGATAACTTTCACTCGCTTTGTTTATTTATATGTTTATTTTATTTTTTGAGATGGAGACTCACCCTGTTGCCCAGACTGCAGTGCAAAGGTGCGATCTCAGCTCACTGCAACCTCAGCCTCCCTGGTTCAAGCGATTCTTCTGCCTCAGCCTCCTGAGTAGCTGGGATTATAGGCACGTGCCACCACGCCCAGCTAAGTTTTTGTATCTTTAGTAGAAATGGGGTTTCATAATGTTGGCCAGGCTGGTCTCGAACTCCTGACCTCAGGTGATCCACCTGCCTCAGCCTCCCAAAGTGCTGGGATTATAGGTGTGAGCCACTGCGCCCAGCTTCACTCTATTTATGCTTTGCCCTAATTGCTTTAGCTATTCTACTTCCTTTTCCTTTTCTTATAAATTTTAAAATAATCTTGTTTGTGTATATCTCCAAAAAATCTTGCTGAGATATTGGTGGAAATTGTGTTACACCTGTATATTAATTTGGTATGAGTTGACACATTATGTCTCTCCGTTTATTCAGATCTCTGATTTCTTTCATCAGCGTTGTGTGATTTTAAGCATACAAACCCCATATGTGTGTTGTTACATTTATTTGTACATATTTGCTTGTGTGTATGTGTGTAGATTCGTCGGGATTTTTTATTTATATAATATCATATGCAAATGGGGACAGTTTTATTTCTTCCTTGCCATTCCTTCCTGTATGCCTTTTCTTTATTCTTTCCTTATTACACTGACTACAAGTGCTAGTACTATGTTGAATATGAGTGATAAAAGTAGTGTGAACCCCCAAAATTCAGACAGGTCTCAGTTAATTTAGAAAGTTTATTTTGCCAAAGTTAAGGACGCAAGCCCGTGACACAGCCTCAGGAAGTCCTAATGACGTGTGCCCATAGTGGTCAGGGTAGAGCTTGGATTATTATTATTATTATTTTTGAGACAGAGTCTTGTTCTGTTGCCCAGGCTGGAGTGCAGTGCCGTGATCTTGGCTCACTGCAAACTCTGTTTCCTGGGTTCAAACAGTTCTCTGCCTCAGCCTCCCCAAGTAGCTGGGATTACAGTGCCTGCCACCATGCCCAGCTAATTTTTGTATTTTTAATAGAGACAGGGTTTCACCATCTTGGCAAG